GTTAAACTTAATAGAATGATGAAAAAATAAATAGAGGTGTATGCACATAAAGCAAATCCATATAGGATTAAAGATAAATTGGATATCCACTGCTGTCCCTGGAAAAAAAGATCCAACAACATATGCAAAAAAATGTACATGTACGCAAACTTGAGAATAAGAGATTTATAAACTCAAACATTATCATAGTTAAGAACGACATAACAAATTATGCATGAGAGACAGGAGAGATGATTGCAACTCAAGAATGTAACAAGGGGTGAAAGTAACACTATATTTGAGGCAAGCTATGAAATAATTTCCAGTTATGAAGCAAAGAACAAGTACAATCAAGAGACATAGAGTGCTATATGCATCACATGTTCAAAGTATATATACCAAAATATAAAATAAAAGACCCTTTTTTCTACATAAGACGTATTGTTTATAGCACAGGAAAGTTACAATTACGAAACTGTGGTGTTAATCTTATTCAAGAGGATTCTTCAACATTTTTAGGCAAATCTGCATGTAAAGAGAGAGAGAGAGAGAGAGAGAGAGAGAGAGAGAGACTGAGCTCAGAGCACGGTGGGAGAATATACATCATAGATATGCATGTATACACTCAATAAAAGAACCTAATTAAATCATCCAAAAATAACACATAATATACAGCTGAATATTAAAAGGAAAAATGAAGGAGTTCACAGAAGATGTATCTAAGGATGTACATTTCATCTAACTGAATAGCAGTTGCAGTTTACTACTACATAAAGCAAATAGTAATTCATTTGCCGACCATACACTCTTCAAGCCCCTCAATATGTATAACTTCACACATTATTTCAACAGGTTGAACTGAGTCATTCTAAAAGTAATACGTCTAATTGAAAAAAAGTAAATTCCTTAATAAGATACTATCCGTACCAAAGTAACACCTTCTTTTGAAAGTTCCTCAAGGGCCTCGCGGTCAAAAACCTTTCCATCGAGTGGTGACTCATCTATCTGTAAAATACAGAATACTCATAATGCTACCAATTAAAAAAGAATACTCATAGGGTAAGATACAGATCATAAATCTAAACATTTTTATGGATGACTTATAAGGACACAGTGTAATACCTTCCAGTCACCTGTATGGAGGATGGTACCATCAGAACAACGTAATACTATTCCACTACAATCTGGAATAGAATGGGTAACCGTTATAGGTTCTACCTCAAAGGGCCCAGCCGTAAATTTCCTTCTTGTTTTAAATACCTTAAGCCTAGATGGAACAAATATCCCAAACTCCTTCAGTCGCTTCTTAATTAGCTGATTACAAAACAATAGAGATACTTAGTTCAATATAAATTGACATGTAACACTGTTGAAAAGTTAACAGCAAAGAATATGATGTTCCAATAAATAAGTATGCAACAGTAGCCAGTAGGTATTGGTGTCTCAATTTGTGTGTATGGGTTTTGGATCATGCTCCAACAAAATTGAATAAGCTTTGCAGGCAGAGCCTATGAGATAGTATACCAACGACTAGACTTTGTTTATTTTTAGAAACGGACCACTTCACCTTGTCCATTTTAATAACAATAAGAAATCCATCCAACCACTTATAGGAAGGAGAAAGGAAAAGAAGAAAAGAGAAAAGAACAGAAAGGAAATTAAAGAAGAAGATCAGACGGCTGAAGAAAGATGAAACAAAGCCAAAGGTAGAGAGAGAGAGACCAAGGATAACAAATATAATAGTCAATAGATGAAGGAATTTCACTTTTTCTATTCGATGAGGATAAAAATGGAAGACAAATGAATGCAAGACTGAAAAGACGAAAATTCAAGTAATTTCAGATTTGCCTTTGCTTGGTAGGAGAGAGAAGACGAAAATTTTAGTTCTGTTACTGTATCTCAAGGATAAGCAGATACAGTGTGCTTTCAACCATTTCTCAAAGAACAGGTTTCCACTTCAATTTTAGATCTTCTCCTTTCTTCTTTTGAGATAGAAGGCAGATTATGGTTTTATGAATTTAGGCTTCAAAATACCACATATCCTTGTGAACATAGGATTACTATATAACCAAAAGCAGTCAAAAAAAAACTCATAGGATCTTAACAAACCTCCATTGTAAACGACGATGCAAAAATCGGTGTATGAGAATCCAGAGCAGGAATTACCTGTTAGGATAACAGATGTCAAGGCAACATAAACTGAGAAAAACACACAAGCATATTTGGCAATTAAACAAGAGGAACTGGAACACCAAGAAATACACTCCATGCATCAGAAAAGGCTAACACCAAACAATCCATAAAGGGGCATGGTATGGTAAGGATGAGAAAATTCTTACTGAACCTATCAAATAAAGGACCTCAGAAACATGACCTATAGACAGCAGGATAAGTTCTGTATGACATACATTAGTTGCTTAGAAAATGTTAGAAGTATGATTCTCTAAATCGATTGTGAGTACATTGTCCCTGAACCGAATTTGCAAATATATTTCCATCAGTACACATAAAAATATGAATAGATTAGAATAGAAACTTTACCCACGGCAGCGCACCAATGTGGTCTTCATGTCCATGGGTTATAATAACTGCTTCAATTTTGTGGCTCCATTTCTTAATAAATGTTGTATCAGGAATAATCTTCTGGACACCAGGCTCGTCATAGCTGGAGAGGGCATCCAATAAGATCCCAAGTCAGTCAATGACAAAGAAATACGGACAATGTAACTAAATTCAAAGCCTAACACAGCTAGTACCATCTAAGGAAAGAAATTCTTTAGATAACTTATCATCCTTAGTAGGAACTTTTAACTTATAAATAAAAGTTTAGAGGAGCTTTCAGTAGGAAAAGATGACAGGACCCCTGGACCTCCACCATTAGATTAATGCCTAAAACAGAAAGAGTAATCAAAGAATATTCATTAAAGGCAGATTCTGCAAAAGTTTCTACACAGCAATATCATTGTTAAAAAGTTGCACGAATGGCCAGTTTGTAACACCTACCCTGGGAACATTATTCCAGCATCAATAAGAATATAACGATCATAATTTCCAACAAGCATGCAATTCATCCCAATTTCTCCCAGACCACCAATAGGAAGAACACGTAAAGGTGGGCCATCAGACCCTTCATAGAATTGTTCCATCCTTCGTTGGACAGAATCATCGATGCTTCTTCCAGCGCCCTCCAATTTATCAGGTCTTTTACGAGGACCTTTTGATCCGCGTACACCTGAAATGACACCAACTTTCAGCAATAAATAGAATAACCAACTTTCAACAAAGTTCTTCCCAACAGCAGCTTCAAGAAAGCAATGGGATGTAACAACTAAGAAGCAAGGAACATCTCCGAGCTAAATTATTTTACATTAATACTGCTCATAGTGTGTATGTGTGACTCTTACATACACGTAAGCATACAATTTACTCACAGGTAATGCAAGAAAAGATACAATATATGTTTGTAAGTGTATTCATAAACTTTAACAACAAAACCAACTATAGCAGTAAGGGACTTCATGGCATACTGTGAAAATCAAGGATAACATTACAGTGTAATATTAAGTCAATCTCAAACACGATACGAACTGCAACCAGTAACTGGAACCAATTCAATAATGTTTATTATATACGAGGCAACAATTTACCCACTAAAAATAGCTAAGCATTTAAATTGCGATTACTTCATTTCCTTTGTAGTAGTTTTATTCACTCGGGAAATCATTGTTTCATCAAAGTGAACAGATTACTTTCCCATACTCCAAAACTTCTCATTGCATTACTTCACTCTTATCATTATTCATTGCTTCAATTCGAAAACAAACCAAAAAAAAAAAAAGGAAGGCAAAGTAAAAACGCCACGTACCTATAGAAGAAGTAGATGGAGTATAGCAAGAAATAAAGTGTTTTCTAGGGTTTAGCTGGTGGCATAGTTTGTACGGACAGAGTGAAATAGCACTGAAAGCGGCGGCCATTTGGATGAATGCTCCGGCACTGGTTACTCCTAACTACTGTTGAAGGTATAGGAATGGCTGTTTATAGGTAACAGAGAAAGATATGGAGGAATTCGAGAGCTTATTGCTCCGGCAACTGCTGAGGGTTTAAGGAGGAGGAGCGGGAAATGGAGAGTTTGGTTAGCAGAGAGAGATAAAGGGGAAGATGATTTTGTTTGCTGAAAGATAGAATGTGACCGTAAAAATATCTTTCTTATCGGTTTGGCTTTCGCTTAATAGGAAAATTGAAAAGATTAGAGGGATGATGGAAGGCACGTGACTACGCAAATTTTATTTGAGAAAAATAAACAAGTAAATGCATAAGTAATTGATCAATGTTGGTTTACTTGGAGCATGTGTGTGGCTTGAAGGTTCAAATAGAGGAAATACTATTGATAATCTTGACGAGTTGGGTTTGCAAGGGGGCAATATAAATTAAAAAAAATGTACTATATATATTGTTTGTAATTACAATTTAACTAGTTTCACATTTTTTAACATATAAATGCGGAAGTAAACGATTAATTACGAATTCACCAAAACTAAGTTGTTTTTAGTTCAAATTGTATTTATATGAAGAAATTCACAACATATGTATAGAAGTTTCAAAATTCAATATTAACATCTGTAATTTTTATTCATATAGTTCAAATTATGACTTCGCTCTAGTATTGAGATTCAGTCACATTCATACTAACATACATCTAAATGGTACAAGTACGATGTCTATAGATTATTGAAGTTGCACATGGTAAATATCACTCTAGTGTAATAGCCTACAAACAATACATAAGAGGTAAACCGCACTAGACAAGTCTTGTGTGATTATTTCAACTGAAAAAGCATGCAATAGATTTCGAACCTAAGAACCCCAAGATCCCTACTCAACCAACTCAATCACCCACTTTGGCTTAGTAAAAAACTTCTTCTGTTACAAAAGAAAAGCATTTATGTGCCTACAGAGCTTGTCTTGGTATGAGCTGTTATAAGAAATTTCCTATTTCAGCATACATCTAATAAATCACCATAAAGTCAATAATGGCTAACTAGAAAATGTTGAGTAGCTGTGAATTCTACTCCAGCCATTAACAACCAAAGCATTTGGCCATTTCCAACATAATTACAACGACGCCAGATACTAACCCTAGTAGGAATTTTACCAGTTTTGAAAAAGAAAAAGAAAAAGTAACCATTTGCATCGCAATAGTTAATTCCTCTTTATCCTTTTCTTAGGGTGCAATTGACAAATCCCAAACATTCAAGCCCTGCTCAAATACAATACAATAAGCTCTTTCACTATCAGCAGAAGTAGATTATTAGAATGCTTCTACATAAGATACCCTAGTTTATGTCGGACATCCTTTGTCTAAAAAATGGCCCGACAAGTCCTATTTTCTTGCAGAATGGTCAGCACCAGAAGCATGATTGCGGTTCAAGTAGCGGACGACCGCGTCTTCAGTCCTATAAGGTTCACAGAAAGTAGATTAGATGATCTGAAAAGCTTATGAGGTACAAATACATATAGATTATCTTAGACAGATCAAACAAGACACTTTCGAACATAAATTATAATGATTGTGAACAGATGGAGATCATGTTTTTAGCTGGCTGCATTCTGATTAAAAAATCTTCATCTGTTAGATCAGAGATGTTCCCAGCATTAAGATAACATGATAACATTATATTTTTTTGAGAAAAGACATAAAGTGACACCTGAAGTTGTCTCGAATTTTCAAAAAGGCACCTTAACCATGCCGGCATCCTATTACCCCACAAAAGTATTCAAGACCGTTTAAAATAGACCATTTTGACTCGTTTACTCCCAATGTTTGTTTTCACGCAGATGAAGCGCGTGAATGAAACTTTGCTTCCAAAAACAAATTAAAAAGCGCCACATGTCAGTTCTTTCTCTATTATTTAATTACTTCCTCTTTTGATCCTAAGTCAAACGCGCTAATCCACTGCGCTATGCTGTCTTAAAAAAATCATCTCTTTTGAACGAAATCACCCCAAAAAGGTAAGAACTTTCTAACAACTTGTTAATTTTCAGTCGTTCAGGGAATACTCCCCACGTCCTAACATACCTAATACTGAAAGCCCATTCAAAATGGACAGGAGAATCATAATCGGGGTCTGGCAACGGAGCTCCGGCGAAATTTTCAAGCAACGAGCAATGTCAAAATGAGCACCAGAATGAACTTAACACAACACAACAAAAAGGCCCAATTGGTAAGCTTCCTAACAATTTGAATTTGCAAATTAGGGAAGTCTCAGGTGAAGGAATTCAAGTTCAATTTGCAAGCTCAACGTTTTGGGTCGGGTTAACCCCGCGTTTTGTTAATAGTTAAATTAAATTAATTAATTAAAAGGAGGTGTGCATCACACACATTCAAATTCTAGGATTGATGAGAAAACGGGTCAAAATGGTCTATTTACAAAGGTATTTAATACTTTTGTGGGGTAACAGGCCGCCCGCATAGTTAAGGTGTTTTTTTAAAAATTCGAGACAACTTCAGGTGTTACTTTATGTCTTTACTCTATTTTTTTTTTCCTTCTGGCGGATATAGTGACCATAATATTGAACAAAAAGAATATCATTATACAGCATTGTGAACACAGGGAAGTTAAAGGCCAACTAATAAATAATTAGGATACTTAGGAAAGAAGCTTACCAAGTCTGATTGTAGAATTCAGAACGTCTCTCCATTTCTGAATCACGGGTCGAATCATCAGAAATAAGCTTAAGATCCCTAGCTTGAGATGCAACTAATGCATTAACAAAATCGGTAGGTGACTGACTAAATCCCAGGAAGAAAGCTCGCCTTCTTTGATGTTCATGGATTTTCTTTATAGCGGTGGAAATAGTTTCATCATATGCATCAATATCCTTGTTCTTCTCTAAATCAGATAAGAATGTGGACAATTCCTTCTGCAATGTGAAGGGAACATCAACCAGTACATCATAACAAGTGTTCCCAGCTGGGTTACTTCCAGATAGCTTAATCCTGTGCTCCAGGTGAATAGGTTGAGGGGCAGTCAGATGCGGATTAATCTTTTGGGGAACCAGGGAAAATTTCAACTTTTCATCTCCAAAAATCTTCCTTAGAGAAGGATCACAAGTGAATGAGGAGGTGTCATGGGATATCTGTAGCTTCTTAGTTTTTATGTAGTACCACAGAGCAGCTAAAACTCTAGCTCGTGTCTCAACCTCAATACCAAGAACTTCCTGCAAAGCTGGCGATAGTTTAAATTTCTCAGGCATATAATTCATCTCCAGTCTGATGATTGCAGTAAGCTCCTTATCCCCTTTTCTCTTAATCTCAAAACCCTCATGAAGGGCTGGTGATCGAGAACTATCCCACAAAATTACATGGTTATCAGGATATAGACTCTGATCCAAGTAAACAGTAACTTTCTTGAAGAAAGATGAAAACTTGGGGCAAGCAACACTAAATTTCTGCTCCTTTTCAGATGCTAGAGGACCCGGCCCACCTCCCAAGATCCTTCCAATAATCTTAAGAGACCATGAAGCTGGCTCATCAGAATCGCTGTTCGGATTAGCTGGTGTCTGATTAGCGAAAGTATTGAATACATAAATTCTGAGAGTTTTCTGGAAACGCGGAGGACTCTTAAGGGATTCCAACATGTCAATCTTCTTTCTAGAAAGAACAGCATCTACACGACCCTCGATTTCAAGCAACTGAGAGTAAAGTGCTGACTCGGGCAAACTCGCAGCCACCTTATCGGGTATAAACCTGTCAGAAACTTTTCGCTTTTTCCTACGCACAGCAGGGGTTAATTCCATTGTCTTTAAAGGAGAAGCAGTTGCTTGACCATGGTTAGATGAACCACCAGTCCGAGAAGGTGGTCTATGGAGCACTTTTCTTGCACCCCCAGAAGCTGTATTGGGTGTAGAAGCAGCAGGGGATGAGACACCAGCATTGGTATTAACCCCTGAAGTGATGAAATGGCTAAAGGCCTGAGCTTGACCTTGAAATGGGGCATGAGATCGTGATTCAGATAACTGAAAATGGCCAGGGAAATGTGAACCACGTTGTGCTGGTGACTGGGAAAAGTGACGAGCAGCTGGTTGATTATGGTTTATCGGCATAGATTGAGGAATTTGCATTGGAACTGAGGTTCCTAAACTAACATTCTTGACTGGATTATTGTTATTCATAGCGAATTTCTACTTAACAAAAGCTGCAAACCAGAATGCGAGATCCTAGCAAAATTAGGGTTCCTTTTCAAGTATTACAAGAGAGGTCTTCATAAAAATTACACAAAACACAAAAGGAGGAAGAGGAGAACCTGAAATAGAACTATACCGGAAAAAGAAGAAACCGGGAGGAGTTCGCCGGAGAAAGAGACGGAAGAAGCAAGTTCGCGGCGGAGGGAGAGCGGTAACCGGTGGTCGTTCACTGAACTTGGCCCAAGTACTGCAAGAGCAGCTAAAATAAATAAACTCACTTTTTGGCCCACAACACGGCCCCAAGTTTGTATAATTACATTTCGTAGTTATTGACATATATAATTTCCATTTATTATATACTCATATTGTTTAACTAGATAATGTTGTCCGTGCTATGCACGGACCCAATAATATAAATGGTATGTTTTGAGGCTAATAATTGAATTTTTGAAGTGATTGTTTGCGTGGATAAAGAAATAAGTTTTTTTATCACAAACTTGTACTTTCTTTTACGGTATTTAAGGCATAATAAGACTACCCACATACAACATTTTTGAAATATTTTATGTTGTCAATTATCATGATTTATAGTATTTTTACGATAGATTCACTTCAAGAATCAGTGGATTTTTTTGTATTTTTTTCAAAACATATTTTATATTGTCAATTATCATGATTTATAGTATTTTTACGCAATTTTTAAATAAAATAATAATAAAGAATAAGACAAATAAATTAAAATGAACTCAATATATGTTATTTTTGTTGTCTCAATTTATGTGACACAAATGAAATTTGGAGAGTCATCCAAATTTTCATATTTTTTTTAAAAATGTTTTAAGTTATTAATTATTGTGATTTATAATATTTTTATGTAACTTTCAAATAACGTACATTACTAGTCACTTTGTCCTAATTTATGTGATATGGATAAAATTACAAAATTAACCTTTTTAAAATGTCTTTCAGATATTTTAAGTTGTTAATTATTATTATTTATAATACTTTTTTGGTAATTTTAAAATGATATGTGTTATTTTTCTGTCCCAATATATGTGAGTCTGATAGAATTCTGAGAGTCAACGTATTTTATTATATAGCTTTTAAATATTTTAAATTGATAATTACTGTAATTTTTAATGTTTTTTAAGTCATTTGTAAATGATATATGTTGCTTCCTTGATTGGGACTTTTCCATTTGTGACACACACACACACATATATATATATATATATATATATATTTGGTGCCCGTGCCAGCACTGGCCCAATAATTTATTTTATTTTTTAAAATTTATGTGATATAAATGGAATTTGAAGATCAGTCGATTTTTTATATGTTTTCTTAAAAATATATTTGAAGTTATTAAATTGTTGTGATTTATAGTATTTTTGCGTTAGTTTTGAATAATATAGGTTACTCATGTTTCAATTCACGTGAATAATCATAAATATTTTCAGTTGTTAATTTATTGTGAATTCTAGAAATTTTGACGTTATTTTCAAATAGTACATGTTACTTATTCTATTCCAATTAGTCAACCAAATTTCTTATATGATTTAAAAATATTTTTAATTGCTAATTATTGTGATTTATAGCATCTTTTATGTAACTTTTAATAATATATAATTTGTTCAAATTCATATGACAATGATAAGATTTTAAGAGTCAACGCAATAAAAATTTTAATTTTTTAAAAAGTTGTACCTCTAATATATTTTGTAGCTAAAATATACTCTCTCCATCCACTTGTATTTGTCATGTTGCGCTTTTTGAAAGTCCATTTGACTAATTTTCAAAGTTAAATCAGATTGTATTAATTTGATATTTTAAAAAAAATTAAATATGCAAAATCTATACAAAAAGTACTATAAATTGTAATTTTTTGCCTATGAATATGATGAAAAAACACATTGTAAAATATTAGTTAAAATTCTTATAGTTTGACTCTAAAAAGGAAATCATAACAATTAAAAGTGCATAGAGAGAGTAATAAATAGGTAATTAAATTTCAAGAAGTTTAAAATAAAAGGTTGAAAAAAAGAATAAGATAGACAACATATATTGAAAATTGAAAACATATAAATAATAAATGGGCTCAAATGAGGTCAAACTTTTCGGCTAATAAAGTAGTAGGTAATTAATGGTGTTAAATTGTCCAATAATATAAATTTTAAAGGTACAACCATAAAAGAAGAATGTACAACACTATTAAGCACATATCATCCAACACTTGTCATATGCTAAGTAGTAGATATTCCCACTTATTATATATAGTAATATATTAACGTTACAATTTAAAATAAAGAATACGATATTTAATGTAGGACTTGGAATGGTCAAATTTAAAACACTCAGAATGGGGATCCAGTAAGGTAAACATTGGTAAAATAGAAAAGACTCAACCAATGTAATGCAAGTGAAAGCATAAACGATAATATTTATACAGGCATATATTCAGAGATATTAAAAAAAAAAAAACTTAATACTAATAAGTTGAGTTTCTGCACTAACAATATTTTTAACAACTACACTACAAATTCAATAAGACGTGACTTAATTGGGGTACTTCAGATTTACATGCAGCACGAGCTATTTACATAGTATTAACATATATACATCACACTTAATACACTTTACAAACACCCCTACCCCCACCCCCACCCCCCAAAAGAAAATATCGCACATACAATTGATATGCATATGTAATAAATTTGAATTTTTAAATGTATGCATCATGTATGTACGAGAAATGAACTTCTGATACATGTTACTGGAATATACTTCTTTTTTTTTTGTTTTAAATTGTATTTCAATGAATGCATCATTGTTGATTGTTCATATAGGGATATAATTGAACTCATATGAATATTTTTTTGAGTATATACAATCGCGATAGATATATGAACAAGTTGATTGTTGTTACAATTATGTAGCATGGTTTTGATTTTTCATTTTTAAACTTGCGCATTTCTTTGAAAAAATCACTTCAAACCTGCACCAATCTAATTCGAGATATGAACTCCTGATGATATATCCTCATTCAAAACGACACCCCTTAAAAACCATTAATAAAATGAAATTTCATAACTTGAATTTAAACTTCAAAGCTCTCCCATAAATATTAATAAAGTTTCTTTTGGAACTCTTGCGAAGGAAAAAAAAAAAAAAAGAGAAGAAGAGACCATTAAATAGAAAAAATAGTCATCAAGGGTTTAAATATGAAATTTTTTTGTGAATTTCTTCAGATTCAGATTTTTTGAATCTCTTCAGATCAAATCTTGAGGATTTCTTCGTTTCCAAATGGAACGAGAGCAAAGAAAGAAAGAAATGCAAGAGGTTTTTACTACAAAATATACATAGTGGATACAAATTGTATTTATTTTTAAAATGTATTTATATATAATAAATAGAGTGTACAAAATATGTATTTATATATAATAAATAGAGTGTACAAGTTAGTTATACCATCTGAACTTTTATTTTATATAAAAAACAAAAACAAATAAGAGTATTTCTTTTTACGCATCCATTAAGGTCTTGGAGAAAAAGTAATTCTAGCTTATTCATGCAAATATTCCTTTATACACCACCATTCAGATCTTATTCTTATTTATATAAAAAAAAACTGTATAAATATAACGTCATATTTAAATTAAATATTTGACAACTTATATGTTTTAGATCAAATTCTAACGTTTTCTATTCATAAATAAATTGCAACATAAATTTTAAAAAGAACCATATACTAAACATATGTACCAAAAAGAACTTGTTAAGAAATGCATAAATAGAAAGGGAGATGGTTCAATCTTAAGGTTTTTTAGTTCTTACCCTCTTAAAACTATGAGTTCATAATATATTACTAGTAACTTTTCACATTTTTCTAAGATTTGTATCGAAAACGTTGGATGCAGCCTAATATTTACTTTCTTCATCCGGTACATAAAAGTGTAGTTTTCTTTAACAAAATGTATCTTGTAAAATTAAATATATATGATATCAGATGGGAGGTAATACATCTAAAAATTGTAGTCAAATAATATTCTTTAACTACGCAAATGCATATACTTAACCTCAGTACGTAAATAACTTTTCCTTCAGACCCAACCATGGACCTTGCAGATAAAATGATCCATATAATGTACAACAAGAAATTACGAATATTAGGATATCTTTTCTCTTCGAACAAGATCAAAACTTGACTTGCTATATATTTGATAATCATCGGAACCCCCTCCAACCCCAACCCCATGACGAAAATTGCATCAAGACCACTTGTACCTCAACCAACACAAACAATATGCATAGAAAATGAAAGACATTGTGATCCGATGAAAATATTCCAGAAGTCTAAGCCACCAAAATAAGGTAAACATTCAACTCAAATATAGAAATAGTAAGAGTATGCAGAACAATGCGACAAATGAAAGGAGAAAAATGGTTCAAGCTGCCAAAATTGTTTCATAACAGAGACTAAGGACATTTAAACTTAAAACAGCATTGGCATTGCAGAAGATTCAATGCTCACGCCTTTGCCTTCCTAGGAGCCAACTGAGTCTCCGGCTGCATCACAAACAAAATGGTTAGGCACATTTCAGAAAGATGTGATTGGAGAAGGCAAGCTATATGCAAGTGTCATATTACACTGCATATGCAAGTCATAATAAAATAGACAGGGACAAGGAATAGTTTACCTCTTTCTTGACAGACTCTTCCTTCTCGGATAAAATCAACTCAATATGGCAGGGGTGAGACATATAGGCTGCAAAAGGGTCAAGAGGTTAGGATTTGAGGTATCAATGACAAGATACAACAAGATGCAGTGAGAAAATTAGCACTTACGGTTAATTCTTCCGTGTGCACGGTAGGTACGACGCCTCTGTTTTTTGAGCTTCATTCACTTGGATGTGAGATATATAAAGTGAATCCACATCCAAACCTTTCACCTAAATAGATTCAAACAACAAAATCAGCTCAAGGGAACATAGAGCAGTCTAGAAACCTGTGCATAGTCTTTCTAGGAAAAAAATAACATAATCTGATAGTACCTCAGCGTTGCTCTCAGCATTTTTGAGCAAATCTAGAATAAACCCTGCTGATTTGACAGGCCAACGTCCTTGACCATTTGAATGGCGATTCTTTGCCTGAGCAGTGCGACCAACTCCACGACAAAAGCGAGTGAAGGGAATGGCTTGTTTGTGGGCAAGAACATCCTCTAGATATCTCTTGGCCTTGTCCAATGGCATCTTCCTAAGAGCATGGGCAGTCTCTCGTGTATTCTGTGAGTAGATAATGCATAAATATTTAGTAAGAATAGGTAAGGACAGAAAACCATGAGAAATCCCAGCACTGTTAAATCTGACTCAGGGTGAAAAAAAGGTTGTGTTTGTAAACAGTATTACACCAATTCATTTTTGAAAAAGTTGTTCTACACAGGAACGTGTTTGAATCATTGTCAGATCTTGACATGGGGTTTAGCACCAAATATTTCAGTAATTTTATTGTGATAAAATGTCACTATAATTACAATTGTTTATTACCAGTCAGTCTTATTTACAAAGAAATACATTTAAAGTAACAATGATATAAAGGATATAGGAAGGAAACTTATGTTAAATACATCAGAAGAACCAAACTAGTAAAATGTCAATCAGAAAGAAAGATTCAGAAACACATAGATGAAGCAAAAACAGACTGTAGATAAGATTAAAAGTTCTAGCTAATAATATATGATCAAACCCAAAGGGTAACTGCTACCTCTCGTAGTAGGGGTACCGGGTTAACTGTAACCACCAAGACTTGAACAAATGAGAATGACACACCTAGTGTTTTGAGTCAGTAACATGAGACATAATATTCTTATCCTAATTCATTGACCACAAAAACCACAACGTTGGGCAAGCTTTGTTTCTAAGTTCAAACAAATAAGAACCCCTCCAAATTCGATAATCTAGAATCACACTTGTTTGGCCCTCACTAGTTAGAGTAAATTAAGATTAGTGCAGTTTAACATCAACAGCAGACTGTAGGCTTGCTTCTACAATGAAGGAGAAGTATTCTAGTAAACCTTTGAATCACTATTTACAATCAAGCTGAGACAAATTTCAAACTTGTAAGTACTTTATTCCTAACATCAGTGATCACCCAACACTCATTTTGACATACACAAGGGTAAAAATAAAACTCACACACACTAGCAACAGCACATAACTTATCGCATAGAATAACAAGAAAACAACAGAAACATTACCAAAAATAATATATGATTATGCACAAGTCAAGGATAATTAATGTTAATGATTATAAACTAATTTTGAGAAGGCACCAATTCTTACAACCGATTAATGTAAGCAATTCATAATGAAAAGAGAAATTACGCACCTTGAAATGAACTCGGAGACTTGAACCCCTGGATTTGCAAGCTATAGCAAAAACAAGAAATACACTCAAAATATATACTAAAACCAAACAAAATTTATAACGCAACGTTCGATAACTCGGATCTACACATATGAATAGATCATAGCTCAAAATTTATATGCAAAGCAAATTAAATACTCACATTTGGTGGGGTTATCGGGTTCCCTTGAATACTTCACCTACATTAACCAAAAGATTCACACGTAAGTAAAAACTTATAATGTTGTTCGCCATAATGATTCGACGACGAATTTGTCGGCTTACCATGGCTTCCGGCGATAGCTGTTGCTGTTGCTGCTGCTGCTTCCTTCTTCGTTAACCCAACAAGAAAGGAGAAGAAAAATAGGGTTTACGACTTATATTGGGAGATGATACATTATAGGGTTTTTACATGTCAATTGGGCTAGGATAGTGGGCCTTGTAGAATTATGGGCCTCCCAGATATATGTAGTACACTTGGTCCAATATCTAAATCATGGTTAAAGTTAATTCTAAACCATGATTAAAGTTAATTGATTTTAAATTTTATACTTTATCCTTATGAGAAACATATTTTTCTTATTCTCTGCTATATGAGTTCTTTATTTTTGTTTTTATAATTGACACTTTTTTTTGTTTACTGGATAAAGTTTATTTACATTTCAAATTTTGAATTAAAAATATTTTTATTCTTTTTCATATGTCAATTGTTTTTTAAATGCCTATTTTACTTTGATGTTATTAACCTTTATTTTATTTTTAGCTTTTTTAAAATTACGATCTCTTAAAAATTTATGTTACGAAAAATTATGATATTTTTATAAGTTTGATAATAATTTTTTTTATATTATTTAGAGGTGTCTTTAAAACTAATTAGTTAAGCACAAAGTGTTCTTTTATCAAAAATATTTTTTAGAGTATTTTGATGTTAAAAAAATTGATCAAACAAGCTATAAAGTATCCCAATATGCCGGCAAATTACGATTAGTGAATCATTGTGGGTGTTTGGTATGTCAATTCGGCTTAGGTTGGTCGGTCATTTAGAATAAGGGAAAATACACAAATTAGACTCATTGGGTAAAGTATTTACTCAAGTTAGATCCAATCCAAACTATTTATCCTGATTGTACTCAAGACTCAAGCTATTTACGCAAGTTTCCCCTTATTCTATTCACTAAACAATGTTTTTTCAACCTTGATACCATCGGAGTATATATATACTCTGATGGTATCTATATCACTGGTATAAAACAATAATTGAATAGTCTTTTATTGAAACAATGCCTCTTCCCCCTTGATGTCATTAGAGTATGTATATACTCTAATGGTATCAAGGAGTAGCTGAGTATTGTTTTCACTAAAGCACTACATCTTTTTTATGCCAACAAAGTATATATACTTCGGAGAAGGGCCTAAAATGCCCCTCAAGTATTTGAATTGGTACAAAATTACCCTTCATCCACCTATCGGTCCTAAAATACCCCTGACGTTCACCTTTCGGCTTAAAAATACCCTTATGTCTAACAGATCACACTCATTAGGTGGATGGAGGGTAATATTGTACTGAATCTCGTAGTTTAAGGGCATTTTAGGCCCTTTTCATTTAAAATAATTTGAAATTACTTAATAAATAAGCTCACATAGTTTACTTGATTTTGAATTTCATAGTAAATTTAAAATGATAAAAAGGTTAGACATCTACTCCCTAAACTACTCCATCCTGACCCTTCACTTCCTATCTCTTCCATTATTTTTTTCTATTTGGATCTTGTCCACAATTTTTTTTTATTACAAACAAGAGAGAAAAAAAGGAGGAAAATAACGATGCATTCATATAGAAATAATTAGTTCAATAAAAGATGACTTAATCAAGCAAATATATATAAAAATTACATTTTTTTGTGTGTACCCAAAATTAAAAATAATCATTTCTTTTATCCCCGCCCTCATCCCATCATGACAATAATACTAATTAAAATAATTTAAATATGTGAGTTCATTTCAATTTTTAGTTTCGGATATCTTAATTAGGAATAAGAGATTAAAATAAGGAATAAAAGAGAAAATGAACAAGACATTTGGATAATTGAGAGAAAATTTTATATTTATGAAAATAATAATATTTTTAGATGGACAATCGGTCGGGATAAATATGCAATTTAGTTGGGTCCCCATTTATGAGTTGGGTTACGTTATAATAAATTGGGGTTGATTTAAAATTGGTCAATAGGAAGATATCATGAAATTATTTTTTTCAATATTATTTTCAAGTGTATCGGGTCAAAATATGAATCATAAGTGGTTTTATAAAAAAATAGAATTTTTAAAAATACAATTTTTATTATCTATTTGAGAAGGGTTTCAATTTGGACCAATCACATTAAGCAATATAATAAATAAATATTTAATAATTTTACTTTAAGGGAGCTATTAAAAATAAGGGCAAATATGAGTCGAAGAATTAACATCGAGGGTATTTTTGAGCCGAAAGGTTGACATCGGAGGTATTTTAGAGCCAATAGGTGGATGGAGGGTAGTTTTGTACCAATTCAAATACTTGAGGGGCATTTTAGACCCTTTTCCATATATACTTTGATAGTATCAAGTAGTAAATTAGTAGTTAAAAACAAGAGGTATGAAGGTAGAGGGATGGCCACTTGTAAATAGTTTCTCTTTTTGCGGCACAAACATTTTTTTAGAATAATGGGTCTCCCGATTATTTGTTTTGCGTATCATTTTTAATGTTATAACGAAACAAAATACAGTCGGTAAATCACAAATTTTAGCATCACAATTCAAACTAGTGTGTGTTTATATTGTATTGATTGAAATTTGATAATTTATTCATACGATTAAATAGTAATAAAACAACATGAAGTAAGGCTTAATTATACTCGATGTGCTAGTCTTATTTGGCTTATCATGTTGTGATGTTAGTGTTGATACTCATCCTTTGAAATTAGTCTTAGTGGTAAACGATTTTCGAAAGTGTTCCTGATTGATCTTTGAGGCATTTCAGTTGATGGTGATACTGGTTTTGAAATTAACTTAGAGTCAGGCACTCAATCTATTTCTTTCCCTCCATTTGGAATGACTCAGAAACTGAAGGAACAATTGCATTATCAATTGGTAAAGATTTTATTAGGTCAAGTGTTTTGTCTTAAGGTGCTCTCATCCTCCTTGGGTAGAGGAAGGATAGCACCATGAAATTGTGTATCGACTACAAACAAATGAGCAAGATGATCATTAAGAATAAATATCCCATTTTGAGTATTAACGACTTGTTTGATTAGCTTTGAGAGTCTCGTTATTCTTTAAGATCAATCAATTTTGAGTATTGACGACTTGTTTATCAGCTCGGAGAGTCTTAGTATTTCCTAAGGTCCATTTGAAGTTTGGTTATCATCAATTGAGGATTGAGGAAATTAGATAAAATGTCCATTAGGTTAAATTTCTTACACAAAATCACTTAAAAAAAGTATACTTCTTCTTATTCTCGCGGACTATATATCGAAAGACTGATAACATCGAGAGAATTTCAAATCTAAAATTTATGAATGTTTAGGGGAGATTTTTGTGTTGGTGGATTGAATAGTCAGTGTATATTTCATGTATCGTTAAAATTATATTCAGTTTTTTAAGTTTATCATAATGTATAATTCTTAGTGTATACTTTCTATGATTTTTGACTATTTTTATGTAAATAAAACATGTTTATATTTGTTGTAAACTAATTACTTTATTGTATATATTTGAAACTATTCCTTGAGAATTTAAGCTGATGATACCACTAAGACAACCTTCAAGACGCATTATGACCACCGTGAGTTTTTGCTTATGTCTTCTAGGTTGACCCAAAAAAAATATTATATTTTTGGGCAGTAAATATAAAATAAAATTATTTTTATTACAATGCAAGATTTAAGCTAAGAAAAATAGTAGTTGTATCATCTTAAAAGTAATTAATTAATGTACAGAAATAATTCACAAGCCTATTTTGTTTTTATTAATTTCTTGTTTTTTAAAAAAAAATTCAAACCAAATTTTACAAAATTCAAATATCATTTTTATAGGGAAAAATGATTTGGTAGACCCTTATACTTGTATCAGTTTATATTGTGAACCCTTCTACTTATTCATTTGTCAACTAAATCCCTATACTCAGTAAAATATAATATACCAAACCCTCTGACCATTGACTAGCCTTATGTGACATTAATATGATTGAGTTGGCACAAAAACGTGGCTACACGCGTTAAAAGGGCAAGTGAAGATCATACTTACATAAAAAAAATATTAAAATTATAAAATAATTGATTTTGTAAAAGAAAAATAATAATAAAAAAAATACTTTACTTCTTCTTCCCCCACCACACTTCTTTTCTAGCAATCATCCTCTTTTCCCATCAACCCCACACCCCATCCACTCTCCAACCTCCATTTTCCTTCTTCATACTTAGTAGGCGTTTGGCCATGCGATACCATATCACGATATGGTGTCGTGAGATGGAATCAGCGTTTGGACATGCGATTTTACGCTAATTCCATCTCATGATTCCATATCATGAGAGGTGATACCATATTCTCCAAAAAACCATGATATGGAATCACCATGTGATTCCATATCATGATTTGAAATATTTTAATACAATAATTGATCCATGAGTTTATATTTTGTTAAAACAACCCCACATTTATATCTACTAACCATTTGTTTCATATGTAAAAAAAAATTATAATCACATCATTACTTTTTAAAATTTATTATTCTCACCAATATAAAATTTATTATCACTTTAAATTTGGTGAATATAAATGATAAAGTAGAAATTCATTTGGTGAATATAAATAAGAACGAAGGGAGTAATACTTTTTTGATTTTTCATAATAAAAAAAAACGTCTTAATCTTATGACTAAGCATAATATTGATAAAAGACAATTTTCATTGGCGGTGCCGCACTTTCTTAATCTTAGTATTTGCAAAATGTTCGTTCACATGATTGAAGGATATCAAGTCCAATTGATTGAGGACTTGGGAAAACTTGATCAATTAATTATTAATATTTAGTCAAGTGGACTAGTTATAATTTTTTTGATTAAATTTTATTAGAAGTGTTTTTGACTCAAACTTGTGGTAACTTTTTAAAATTTCGTTATTTAATAATATTTAACTATTGATTTTTCTTGTAAATAGTTAGAAGTTAGTGATGTTTGTTAATTTTTATCTTAGTGCATTTAACTTCTAAGTTAATATTTACTCACTAATGTATGTTTTTTTCCTACTTTATAGGTTATTTGTAAGAATAGTTGAGAGATATGAGCATATCAAGTACAATTTATGTTCAATTTTTTTAATTAAATTAAAGTTAGATGAAACAATTATTTAACTGAAGTACAAATAACTTTGTAATAATTTATTATGCGATTTTATAATTTTGGTTTATTTGATAAGATTGAATAAACAATTGGAACTATTTTAATAGTTTTACAACTTATGAGATTTTTATGTTTATGAGAAAATATACAACACAATAATTCCCTATCGCATGTCCAAACAAACCTTCAATTTCATCTCATGATACCATATCATGATACCATATCATGATTCCATATCATGATACCATATCGCATGGCCAAACGGGCCCTTAATGTTATTGTTTTCAGCAAATTCATTCCCCTTTTTTTTTTTTTCAGTAAAAAAAATTAATTTTTTTTCGCTGCAAATACCTAATAAGCTACTTCTTTGCTTCTCTCTAAATTTTCTCTTTGACATAAGAGGCTTACATGGAAAGAAAAGGAAACAAAGAAAGATGACAATGTAGATCTTATATTTTTGCTACAAACTAGAATTTCAACGACCCATTTTTGATTTCTTCTCAGTCCCCGCTTTCTTTCCCACAAATCGAAATCAAATTTTACATTCTAATCGATCTTCAATTTGTCCAATTTATTCTCTCCTCTATCTATAGCTAGTGATTTCAATGACTATTACAACTAGTTTCTAGGGGTTTTTGGGCATTATTTTGTTGTTAGTTGTTATTTTTGAGATTTAAGATTTTATTTTTTAGACTTCCATTCTCAATGTCCCTTTTCGTAGGTTGTTGTTTTAGTGGAGGTTGGAGGAGGAAAGAAAAATAGCGATAGTGTGCGGCGGAGATGAAGATGGGTGAGGGAGAAAGTATATGTGGTTTTGCCGGTAAAAATGGCAGCGATGGCTTTCTCCGGTGGATTTTGGTCGTGAAACAGTGATAATAGGGAGAATTGAATGTATGAAATTTCACTTTAAAAAATGCCAAAATAAATTAAAATGTTATTATTTTATTTTATTAAATAATTTTAAAAAATAGTTATGAAATAATTATGATATGACATTGATATATCTGATGTGGATATGACATGTCAATTATATAAAGGAGAATGAGCTACACACATGATTGGAGGGGCTTAAAAGTTTTCATTTTAATTGAGTTTAAGGGTCCAAATGACAAATTGATAAATAGAACGATTCAGAATATAAACTGATACAAGTACAAAGATTTACCAGACCATTTTGCCTTTTTATAGTGAACATTAACCATGTTTCTCGTGAACACATATGTTGATTTTTTGCAGCAAGGAGTTGACAGAAGTTGTTTTCCCTCAAACACCAGCCTCGTTTCGGATAATTAGTTCCTTCATGATAGTCGCCGCCGTCGCCGCCGTCGCCGCGGCGTCACCACCTATTTCCCCGCCATATTTGAACTCGAATCCTGGCAGTTTCCGAGATCGAAAGCAACTTCTCTTCAAGTTACAGAAATGCAAAAGCATTCAACACGCCTCTCCAATTCATGCCCACATAATAAAAAACGGCAACCCCAATGACCCCTTTATTCTATTCGAGCTTCTTCGCATTTGTTCTAGATGCTGCTCCATTGAATATGCTTCCACGATTTTCCGGCAAACCCCCGACCCAAATGTATTTCTCTATACTGCTTTTATTGAAGTGCTCGTGTCTTCAGGGGCTTACTCTGATGGAATTAGAACTTATTTTCAAATGATTAAGGATTTCATTTTACCTGATCATTATATAATACCTTTGGTTCTTAAGGCATGTGGGTCTGCGTTAGATTTAAAGAGCGGTGAGCAAATCCATTGCCAGGTTATGAAATTCGGAATGAGTTCAGACAGGTTCGTGAGGGTAAAGCTAATGGAACTTTATGGAAAATGCGGAGAGTTTAATGATGCAAAGAAGGTGTTTGATGAAATGCCTCAAAGAGATGTTGTTGCCTCCACGGTTATGATATCGTGTTATCTTGATCATGGACTAGTGAGTAAGGCAATTGATGAATTTCGGCTGGTTTCTACCAAGGATAATGTCTGCTGGACAGCTGTGATTGATGGGTTGGTTAGAAATGGTGAAATGAATTATGCATTGGAGTTGTTCAGGGAAATGCAGATGGCGGGTGTAAAGCCTAATGAAGTTACGATTGTTTGCCTTCTATCTGCTTGTGCGCAGTTGGGAGCACTAAAGCTCGGTAAATGGGTTCATTCGTATGTGGAAAAGTACAACATTGAAGTTAATCATATAGTTGGTTCAGCTTTGGTGAACATGTATTCAAGGTGTGGAGATATCGATGAGGCAGCTAGTCTTTTTGAAGACTTGAAAGCTAGAGATGTAACCACTTATAATTCTATGATTGTGGGGTATGCATTGAATGGGAAGAGTATCGAAGCTATCAAAATATTCCAGAGAATGAAACATGAAGGAGTTAAACCGACAAGTATTACCTTTTCTGGTGTTCTGAATGCCTGCAGTCATGGCGGGTTAGTGGATATTGGGTTCGACATCTTTGAGAGTATGGAAACTGAATATGGAATAGAACGACGAATTGAACATTACGGATGTATGGTTGATCTTCTTGGTCGTATAGGACGTCTTCAGGAGGCATATGATTTTATACAAAAAGGCAATATTGCTCCAGACAATATAATTTGGGGATCATTGTTAAGTGCTTGTAGAATCCATAAAAAATTCGAACTAGGTGAAAGGGTTGCTAAGATTCTACTGGAGTATGGTGCTGCTGATTCTGGAACATATATTCTTCTGTCTAATGTCTATGCTTCGAGGGGTAAATTTAAGGAAGCAGCACAAGTGAGAGCGAAGTTGAGAGAAGAAGGTGTCCAGAAAGAACCAGGTTGCAGTTCGATAGAAGTGAATAATGAGATCCATGAGTTCCTTTTGGGAGACATTAGACATCCCGAAAGGGAAGCAATATACAGTAAACTGAAGGAGCTGAATGATATGCTGGAATCCGAAGATTATGCTCCAGCAACCGATGTCATCTCACAAGATATTGAAGAACACGAGAAAAGATGGGCGTTGAGCATACATAGCGAAAGACTTGCAATATGCTATGGCTTGATCTCAACCAAACCATGTACCACAATAAGAGTTGTAAAAAATCTTAGAGTTTGCAATGACTGTCATTCAGTTATTAAGCTTATATCTAAGATCACACAGAGAAAAATTGTTGTAAGAGATCGGAATAGGTTTCACCATTTTGAAAATGGTGTTTGTTCTTGTGGTGACTACTGGTAAACCTACCATATTTTTATCAATGAACTTCTATGAAATGGTTTCACGGGATTCAACCAATTGTCTTGATCCTGGAATATCATTGAGAAATAGGAATCCGGGTTATCAAAGGATTTCCTGTGATTATTTCTAGTATGGAAGGATTCAATCATCCACTTTGGTATCTTTTTGAACAAAAATGGTGATATTTCTAGTATGGAAGGATTCAATCATCCACTTTGGTATCTTTTTGAACAAAAATGGTGATATTGTTCCTCCATTGATCAATAATATCTATTATTGGGAAGTATCATGATCGTCCAATTAAAAAAAATGAACAATTTGAAGACCTATTAATTCTAACAACTAATTGGAGAGTTGATCATTCAAACCTTTCTCTCTAAATTTAGTGAATCCGAACCCGAGCCGAGCGGCAATGATAGCACTCTTTTAACTCTTTAAAAAAGGCAATATGTTCTTTTTATATATAAGTACAGTAATCTTTCTATCCCTATCCAATGAAGGACAAAATTCCTTTGTAAAAAGAACTTTATTCAAATATAATTTCTCTCCATTTTTCAATTCACAGTTTCACACTACCCCTCAACTTCATAACACGACCAACAAGGATCATGAAAAGTGATAAGTACTCTTTCATCTTTAATTATAAATTTTGAGTTTCGAATTCTCTTGGATATAGAATCACATGTTTACCCGCTAATGTGAGATGTCTATGCCAAAATAGTGTCCACTCTTTTTTTAAAAAGAAAGAATCTTAATAAGCATATAATACTCACAAAAGTTTAAGATACGAGACGACCTTTATGCTTCTCTATCTCAACTTTTTCTGCATTTTCTACGCTTCAACGATTAACATCAAATATGACCCCACATATTTTCTCAATTTTGAAATTTCCAATTATTAGACTTGCTAAATTAAAATTACTCGATATATTACAAATAGAAAGAATGATATAAAATTACTCGATATATTACAAATAGAGAGAATGATATATTGTGCCAAACAAAACATTGAATTTATCTTTGAGGTTCAAAATATATTTTTATTTTTTATTCAATACATGACAAGAATTAAAGATTTGATATTGGAGAATTTCAAAATTTACATATCACATATCACATATACAATACTTACAAAGACATATTGTATTATATTACAACATTGTAAAGTAGAGAAAGTATCGTACATATCTAGTAGTAGTAAATTTAGATGAAGCACATTAATTTTTAAAAGTTCAATTCCTAAAGATATTCGCTAATTACATTTTTCCTTCAATTTTTAAGGTTCGAACCAGATACTCGTACAGTAATGTATATGTAGCTCTACGTAATTAAAGTTAGAAACAAGGGCATAATGGTCATTATAAAAAAACCTTACTTTGGTTCGCTGCCATTTTCAAGCGTTGGAATCTCCGAAATCCAACACTCGGAAGTGTCTCATCTCTCTGCAAAATAAGAACACTAAAAAAAAAAAGGCAGTGCAGAGAATTCGTCGAGGAGTTCGCCGGAGAGAAAAATGTCGACATCGTCAGTGAACTTAGAAGATGTCCCCTCCGAGAGCCTCATGTCGGAGCTTCTCCGCCGCATGAGGTGTTCCTCCAAGCCGGACAAACGTCTTATTCTCATTGGTAATAATAATAATAATAATACTCGCAGTTGGTTTTGCTATCTTTTTTCTTCAAATCTGCTCTCTTTGTTATGATTTGTTTGTGGGTATGTGGTGTGCACTGTCAACATTCTTTCTTTTGGTTGTTTTTATGGTTTTTGCATCTAAATGGCTATCAGATCCGCATTTTTGCTATTTTATCGGAGTGGGATTAGCTTACTGCTTTGTTGGGTTTTGCTTTTTTCCCCTAAATTGCCATCAGATCTACAGTTTTTACAGTTTAATGGAGGGGGATTTTGAAATTCGGTAGTTTATTTTGCTGTTGGGTTTTGCTTCTTGGGGTTATGAGAGTGGGGGGAGTTTGTGTGTACTTGGAAACAAGATGAAAGTTCTCGAATTTAGGGGGATTTTGTGGTTTAAAGGATGAGGCAGGATCTTTGCTTAGAGCAGGTTTGCTTTTGTTAATTTTGTTAAGTGAAGAAGTGATCGACGAGTAAAATTGCTCGCCTTTTATGGTTTCAAATCTAAAAAAATAATATGCACATTCAATCTACGATAGTATTCCTTAAAAGGAGTTACGAGTGAACCATGCTTTCAAGTTAAAATAGGGAATATGTCAGAGCATCTGGTTTCTTGACTATTTATGGGTTATTTGGTAACAAGAAAATCCTAGCTTTCAGGATACAAGACAATGAGAGTTCAAATCAAGTATGCATAAATCTGAAGGTGATTTCGTAGTGTCTTGTTTGGTTTTTGCTAATGTTGGGAGGAAGTAGCAGTAGTGCTGTACCCTTCTCAAGTAAAGCTCTCTCTCTATATGGTTATATTCCATGATGATTTTCCTTTTGGAAATCTGTTTGTAATTCAAATTACTACCTGCTCAACCCTTGCAATGGTAAACCAAGGTTTCATCCTTTGGTTTGGAGTGCATAAACTTGATTTGCTCTTCAATAATGTATGTACAACAACAACAACAACATATCTAGCGTAGTCCCACAAATGGGGTCTAGGGAGGGTAGGATATACACATATTTTACCCCTACCTTTGTGGGGTAGTGAGGCTGTTTCTAATAGACCCTCGGCTCAAAAGAAGTTTAATCAAAGCAGAGATGTTTCTAATAATCTAGTGTTTCCGTAAGTTGTAATTGTTGCTCAACCAGCCTCAAAAGACATATGAGGAAAAAGGACTTCAAGAAAAAATTAGCTGTTATATTTTTGCATTTCAATGATTAATGACTTTGAACGCTTGTCTTCTATGCCCCTCATCACCAGCATAACAGAAAAAGTAGTTACCTGGTTGGTAGCATATGACCTTCTAGGAGCATTGTTATCAATATTGTATGTAGAAAGGCCATTATCAAAAAAAAAATATTGTATGTAGAAAGGCAAAAAACTTTACTATGGATTCCCCATGCTTCAGAAAGGAGACTAGACAATAATTGGCCTCCTATCTCATGTTGGGTCTTTTGGTCTGTTTTTCTTCTCTAAGCTTTTTGCATGCTCGTAGGGGGGTGATGTGTAGCTGGTCGAAAGTTTTAGCCAAGGATCTATATTTGGATTTGGGTTTGGAGCTGGGTTTTCTTAATGAGTTATAACAATTTTCCTTTTTCCAATTGCCTAGTATTTACTTCGTGGCAATAGTGTTTTAACATTATTGTTGTTGTTTATATGGACAAATAATGTCATCCATGTGCTCAATCTGAATTCATTTTGGGTGTTGACATGTCATCATATGGACTTATACATCAAATTATGAATAGTTCTGTCATGCTTTGCCAGATTTTTGTGATAGATAAATCTGTTGATTTTCCTTCTTTCCAACTATTATAGTGTTAAGATCTCTAAAAACTTAAAAAAAAATTCTGCAGGCCCACCTGGATCAGGGAAAGGAACGCAATCTCCTATCCTTAAAGATGAATATTGCTTGTGTCATTTAGCCACGGGGGATATGCTGAGAGCTGCTGTTGCTGCCAAAACACCTTTGGGCATTAAGGCGAAGGAGGCCATGGATAAGGTCTTATTGAGTGTTCTTTAAATTATTATTATTATATGTTTCTGACTTCTTTCAAGTTCCAACAGGAGAGTATAAGGGAGAACAACAATTGGTTTTCCTTTTCTCAGTAAAATTGTTTTTGTACTACTATCTTTTCAGGGAGAACTTGTTTCTGATGACTTGGTTGTTGGGATCATAGACGAAGCATTAAAGAAGCCATCATGTCAAAAAGGATTCATTCTTGATGGGTTCCCTAGAACTGTGGTGCAAGCAGAAAAGGTTATTTTCCTGTTAATCCTTACTTATTTATGTTTATGTGGACTTAATGTGCAATTCCTGTCAGCTTTGATTGAATCCTTGTAGTAGGATTATCACGTCTCGCTCTACTTATTGCAGCTTGATGTGATGCTTCAAAATCGAGGGACTAAAGTTGATAAGGTTCTTAATTTTGCGATTGATGATGCCATCTTGGAAGAGAGAATTACCGGACGTTGGATCCACCCAGCTAGTGGTCGGTCATACCATACAAAATTTGCACCTCCTAAAGCACCTGGGATAGATGATGTAAGATAATAGAATCAAAGTTTTTAGTTTTATTTGTTCTGATAATACCATCTCTTCCCCTCTAGCTCGTCAAAAATAAAAAAGTACTGTAGTTTTTTTTGCTGAAGGTAGTTCATTGTAGTATGTCTTCATACGCTTAGCAATTGATTATTTTACAATTTTAATATCTTTTTTGTCTGCTGTGCAACTTAAATTCTGTCAGACAAACTTACCTTCATAACTTTCTCTATTAAGGACTGTCAACAAAAAAAAAGAAGGAACATTCTATATTAAGGATAGTTCTCTGACATCTGAATCTAATTCAATTTTATTTTTCTACGTGAAGGTCACTGGAGAGCCTTTGATACAACGAAAAGATGATACTGCTGCTGTTCTCAAGTCAAGGCTAGAAGCCTTCCACAGGCAAACTGAGCCGGTAAACATCTGTTTATCTCTGACTTATTGAGGGGAAAGGGAAAGAAAAAAAGAACAAAACACATCTGTGTATCTAGTCGCTTTGGTAGAGAGTTAGGAAAACTAGGAATTGCATTTGGGAATCCGACATAATAATCTATAAGATGTTTCGCAACATTTTGCCAAATATTTTATACACGGTATAGCTTTCATTTGACCTAATAATGTTTGTTTGATTTGGTCCAAAGACGTAAAGCCAATAATCATTTTTGTAGTCTGTTTGGACTCTTCGTTAGTTTCTGTCCTCCATGCTAAAGCTGTATTGGATTAATGTACAGGTCATTGACTACTATGCCAAGAAGGGTAATGTAGTGAATCTCCCTGCTGAGAAACCACCACAGGCGGTCACAGCTGAAGTCAAGAAAGTTCTCTCCTAATGGAAGGATGCCAACTTTTTTTGGT